TCAATCAAAGTCCTACCTGCTGTAATATCCCTGGGGTCTTGTTCGTCTTCAAATATCAGCCTTTACCAGGAGTTTGGCTTTATATTCTGGAACCATCCAGCCTGATTGGGACTTTGCTCCTCTCAGTGTGGCCCAAGGAACAGCAGCATTGGTGTCACTTGAGTGAGGACTTGTTAGAAGTGAGAATTCTCTCCTAGCTTGGCTGGGCACACCTGTGATCCCAACCACTCAGGAGCACAGGCAGGAGGATTGAAAGTTCAAGGCCAGCCTCAGCAACTTAGAAATCTTGGGGAGAGGGAGCTGTCTCAAAGTAAAAAATAAAAAGGATTTGGGATTTGGCTCAATGGCTCACTGACTCTAGCTCAATGACTCTAGGTTCAATCTCCAGTACAAAAAAAAAAAAAAAGAAATGCAAATTCTTAGGCCCCACCTTAAATCTACCAATCAGAGACTCTGGGAGGGGTGCCCAGCAGTGTGTGTGTTAAAAATCTCCCCAGATGATTCTGATGCTCCGTAAAATTTAAGAAGGCTGCTGTGGACCACTGCATCCCACTCACTGGTCCACAGATTGGCTGTATCAGAATTACCTGGGGAACCTCAGCAATCTCACCCCCAGAGATTTTTTTATTTCAGTAGATCTGGGGTGCATTGCAGATTGACTGGCATATAAAATATAGGACGCCCAATTAAATTTGAATTTCAGATAAACAACGAATAATTTTTTAGAAGTATGTCCCAAATATGAAATTCATGAAATTCAAATTTAATTTAACGAGGCTTCCTCTGTTTTTATTTGCCAAGTCTGGCAACCCTCGATAGAGAGCTGACTTCTAACAAACTCCTCAGTGGAAGTTTCGACCAGGTTTGACCTACATCCTCTTTTGTCCTTCAGATGTTTGAAGCTGGGGTTTCTGGCCACCTGTATGTTCCCATACTCTCCTGGTCCAGGTGGGACATTTTCGTTGGTGTAGCTGGAGACCGCATGCACTTCTGACAGCCGCATCCTGCTATCGACTCACATCGAGTCTATGATCATTGAAAATCTCTAAATCCTTCCTAAATGTGCTCCTTCTACGCTACGTCTACTCGTTCCCATTTTGGAAGGTTAGTCTGGGGCCCGGCTCCAGCATGCGGCATTTCTCACTATACTTTCCACCTTTTCAGCTACTTTTCATTTTTTTCCATCTGTTGAGTCCTTTTAGATTCTGACTCTATATTTATGATCCCTCCCAGATTGTATCCTCAGTGAATCGCATCTTCAGGCTATGGATGTCCCAGCCAATTGATAGTGAGCGCACTGGGTCAGGCACCGGAGGACAGAGTGCTGTGGTCCTCCATCTCAATGCCTCCGTTAAAACGCCTGCATCTCATGTGACGCTGACCCATTAATCAGCTTCTTTTGAGAACAGCTCAATCAGTTGACCAGTTACAACAGTGCAGAATAAAGTTGAGTGTCCCTTATCTGCAATACTTGGAATCAGACTGGATTTCAGGTTTTATTTGTTCAGGTTTTGGAGCGTTCGCATGCATGTAATGAGCTGTCTTGGGGATGGGACCGGGAAACTCATTTACATTTGATATACACCTCGGTACTCAGCCTGCAGGTGACTTTGTACAGTATTTTTAGTGCCGCCGTGTTTTGACTGCAGCCTGTCCCGTGAGGTCAGGGGTGGAATTTTCCACTTGTGGGGTCACAGCAGCTAATTGATTCGTTTCTGATTCTGGAGCATTCTGGATCTGGGGCTTCTGGGTTGGGAATGCTCAGCCTGCATGGGCACCCACCAGCACAGTGCCTCCTTTTCCTCATGACATCTCACAATGCCCTGTGAAAGACAATGCCAGCTGCCTCACAGACCCTGAGTCTGCGGTAGCCCCCTGGTCTACGGGGCCAGCGGCCCTGACCAGTCAGCCTGGCCATTCTTAGGAGCTCGGCCCCTCCTCTAGGAGCCCAGAGGTCATCCTTTGAATGACCTGCCTCAGATTCCTGCCTGGCGCCTCTGCAACACACCAGGTGACGTTGGTGGAAGCCACCATCTGTCCTAGATGGTGAAATCCAGAGGGCACCTGCCAGCRCCTGCCTTCACCACTGCCCTTGGCCCTCAATCATCTCTGCAACCCAGCAATGTCACCCAGGCATTCTGGGACTGGGGACAGAGCCGCTCCAGGCTTGGAGGTCTAAGCGCATTCAGAAGTATTTGCCAGCTTTCCCTCCCTGCTCCCCGGAGCTCTGGCCAAGTTCCAGGGTGGCCAAGGGGCAGAGGTGCAGAGCGGGTCCCAGGGCTGGAGCCCGGCACCTGCTCCCCACAGCCCCAGGGGCTCCCTGCGATGCCCTGTGGAGCTGGGGCCAAGCGAAGGCCCCTCCACTGAAGGGGCTCGGGAGAGAGGCCAGTGCAAACAGACTGACCCTCGAGATTTAATGTCCTGRCACAGAGGTGGACAAAAGCCAAGGGAGCACCTGGAGGGAATGACTCAAACTTCCTGGAAGGGGGGATGACTTCCCGTAGGAGGTGACATTTGGGCTGGGCTCTGAAGGATGAGTTGACACTCCCTCCATGGAGAAAAGAAGAAGAGAAATTCCAGCCCCGGGAGCAGCCTGGGCAAAGGCCCAGAGCAGGAGGGCGGCCATGTGTCACTCAAAGCCAGGGCTGAAGGCTGACCTGGGTGGGGTGTGGCAGAGGGGGAGTCTGGGGCTGTGCTCAGTCCCAGAGAGCTCGCCTGGCCCTGGGTCTCATCTGCAGCCTTCGGAGAAAAGGAAAAGGAGCAGGAGGGAGTCGTGAGATGGCAGAGGGCAGAAAGCGCAGGGCCCTGAGGCCCTGAAGGGCCGTGTGTCYGTCTGCCTCACCTGCACCGAGGATGCGTGTGTCAGGCACTCTGCTGCGCAAGTGTGGAAAACCAGCCCTCCCCCAGCCAGGGCCAGCCAGACCTGTGACCCCACAGGGACATCAGCAAGTGGCAAGAGCTCTGAGAGGGTGGCCCCAACCACAGGGATGAGGAAAGGCTTCCGGAAGGTGATGGTGCCCAAGAGCAGGGACTCTGGGGACAACTAGGAATCGAGCCGGGAGAATCCTGGGCGGGGGGAATGGCAAGCAGGAGAGCGTGGAGGCAAAGAGGTGGGGGACGTAGCAGGCCTGAGGCTGGACCAGGAGGCCGGGCAGGCCACAGCATGAAGTCAAAGTGATGGGAGTCCCTGGAAGCTGACCAGGACACAACACTGTCTGGTGCGCCCCTGGACTGATCTGCGGGGAGTCCACAGAGGACAGAGGTCTAGGGAAGGGGGGCCGGCAGGACGCTGGGGCAGTGTGCCAGAGGGAGGCGTGGGGTGGCGATGGGGACCAGGGAGGACAGGACGTGGACTGTGTCAGGAAGGGAGGACGAGGGACAGGACCTGGTAACAAGTGAGCTGCGGGGTGGGACATGGGGGTCTCCAAGCTCCACACCCGTCTATGGCTCAGGTGCACAGAGATGGAGGGGCCACCCGTCAGCCAGGCACTGTGGCCAGGTGGGGATGAGCAGGGCTCCCACTGCTGTCCGTGGTGCTAGTGGAGTACCCCAGAAGGAGCTCTGGTGGAACTGGGGTGGGGGCTGGTCTAGGGACAGAGGCAGGAAGCCAGCAGGGTTTGGGGTGTGGAGAGTGGTTAGAGGAACAGCTTCCGCCTRTAAGCCCCAGGAACTCCCCTCTGCTGAGGAATCTGGATGATGCTCCCAAGCACAGATGAAGATCAGAGAGGGACAGTGATATCTCAGGGTCACACAGCAAGGAGTAGAAGACAATGGCCTAGAACCCAGGATCTTAGAACTCAAGGGCAAGGACATCTGAGAGAAGGTTATGTCCTCAATACCACTGCTACTCTGCCTCCTTCAGGGCCTCTGTCATTCACAGTCCCCCTTTCTGCCTTCTATCTTCTGAATATCCCTTCCCCAGCACTCTGAGGCCAGCAAGGGGAAGGTGTGGGGGCTGGGGACACCCCATCTAGGATGTCCAGACAAGCCCAATCCCTTCTTCTCTTTCTCCTTTCCTCCTCCCCTTCCTTCCCTCCCCTCCCACTCCCTGGGAATGAGGCCTCCCAGTTGCTTAGCAACTAGCAGAGCCTTGGAGAAAGAAAATGGAAATAGCTCAGGAGGTGCCTCCCCTCTGTTAAGGTAGAGGCTCTTGGTGTGTTGGGGGGAGCAGTGTTTTACTTTGGATGTAGCCCAGAGTCATACCCAAGAAGCCAGGGCTTCTTATCTCTAAGCCATGCTTACCCTGAGACTAAAAGGATTTGTCTGCCTGGAAAGCTAATGTCAATGTCATCTTTGGTCACATTATTAGAAGCAGTGTTTCCAGAACAAAGGAGGTGACAGAACTGTGGCCTTTAWTGTGGGGGAGACACCCCCACCCAGAATGTTGGTTTTAAAGAAATTAACCTGATCACTGTAAGGATTGGAAAGTATGTCTGGAATGGGAACTTGAGAAGACCCCGGCTGAGAGCTGCAGAGCTGCCCTGGGTGAAGCCTGGGAGGTCGAAGCATCCATAGTCTGTGACCCTATTAGACAGAGCCAGGCCAGTGGGCTGGGGCATGTGGGAATGGTTTAAGCTGAGCCTGAAGGAAAGACAATAAATAAATAAAACTAACAAAGATTCCGAGTTGCCTGATTGACTGGGGAGTTAGGGGGCCACCCAGGCATCTGCACAGGGCAGAGGGGCATCCTGGGTAGTGGCCAGGTCCCTGGAGATGACTAGCCTACAGCCTTTGCAGGCCACCTAATCCAGCCTGCACCCACCYGCCCACTTACAGATGGGGACAGCCAGCATCCCACCCCATTCAGGCCCCAGGTGTGACCTAAAGGTGCAACCTGTCATCTGTGCGCTGCGGCCTGGGAGCCACGGATTAGAGCCATGGGCGGGCCCTTCAATCTCCAGGATTAACTCGCAGAAGGGAGCTTAGCAGTGGCCCAGAAGTGACCATCCCGCCTTGGGTTTGTCTGTCYCACAGGGCCCTCGGCTCCGGGGCCACCGGCTATGTCCTCCACCGTGAACAACGGGGCGGCCAGCATGCCGTCCCCACCCGACGCCGCCAACGGCTTCCCGCAGCCCGGAGCCTCGACGGGGGCCTGGCCGCGGGCCGAGGAGGAGCTGCGCACCGCGGAGCCGGGCCTGAAGCGCGCGCACCGCGAGATCCTGGACCACGAGCGCAAGCGGCGCGTGGAGCTCAAGTGCATGGAGCTGCAGGAGATGATGGAGGAGCAGGGGTGAGTGATGGCTGTGGCCAGCTGGGTGGGGCCATTCCAGGAGAGAGGCGAGGGCCCAGGCCCAGGCCAGGGGCTAGTCCAGCAAAGAGCCAGGGTCTTGGGCCAGCTGGGCCAACCATGGCAAGCCCAGCCCACCTTTCGTTCTTCTCTTCCTTTATTCAACCTACAAATTGTCTTTCAACACCTGCTGTCTGTCAAGCTGGGCTCTGGATTCCCAGAAGTCAAGGAGACACAGTCCCCAGGRAGAGAGGGGCACTTACACACCAATGACAAGCCCATCCCAGTTACCCACACTTATAATCCCAGTGACTCAGGAGGCTGAGGTAGGAGGATGGCAAGTTCAAGGCCAGCCTCAGCAATGCTGTCTCAATTTTTTTAAAAAAAGGGGGCTGGGGATGTAGCTCAGCATAGCACCACTGGGTTTAAGGCCTTGGTTTCCCCGTCTGTGAAATGGGTGGATCAAGCTGCCACACCAGTCCTGCAGCCAGACAAGAAAAYACTGAGATACTTAGTGTGTACCAGGGGTGACTGTGGCTTCAGCAAAGGAATCACCTGCTGGGTTCAGGTCATTTCCTGTCCTCAAAGACCACCCCCACCCCTAAATACCGTCTCAGAATAGAAAAAAGCATGTTAACATCCACCCCAAGCAGACTAGAATCATGGTTAAAGGACAGGGGAGGTGAGAGCCAAGCGCTTCAGGAGCCCGAGCAGAGATTCTGCCAGGGGAGGGGAGGCTGCCAGAGAACAAGGCATTTGAATGGGCTCTGAAGGATGAGTAGGAGTTCGTCACACCATAGGTGGGGAGCAGTAATTCCAACCTCTGAGTGCACTCGTCAGTCAGAAAGGGTTAGGGACATGCACACGTTCCCACGTCTAGCGGAGGCCAGAAGCCCCCTCTCAGGGAGCTGGAGGCACAGGAACAGAACAAGGCTGGTCCCATTCCTGCAGCTCCAGGGACAGCCGGGGTCCGAAAGCTCCCTTGGCATCTGTCTCGAGTGCATTGACACAGTGGGCTGGAGCAGGGCTGGCCCCRAAGCAACCTGTGCCTGGGTCAGGGTCTGGAGCCATGTAGAGCCCAGGTGTGGCCCCAGTCCACAGTTCTTCCAAACTTCACCTGCATCTGAACGCCCAGGCCCCTGGGCTCCCCAGGAGGCAGCTGAGACAGGGGCCACCATCTCTGCAGAGCTCAGAGAGACACTGAAGCTCAGACAGCCACAGTGGAAGGCCATTGGGAAAGTGGGCCATGGCCAGGTCTGCACTCAGCCTCCGGGGCAGCCGCAGCAGGGCTGCTGGGAGGGAGGAGAAACAGGGACCCAGTGCCCAGGGGGGACCAGGTAGGTCCCCTGCAGAAATGGATGGCTGAAAGGGAGGACATTAAGKGCAGAGAGGAGCCCCCAGCCGGCAGTGAACGAAGGGATGGGACGAGCTGGGGTTCTAGGCCGGGTAGAGGGGGCGAGAGCATCCTCCRCAGAGAGCACCTGGGGCCTTTATTAAACCTGCCGACCTGCTGAGTTGGAGACTCCAGGGCTGAGGGGACTGGAGTGGTGTGGGTGGGGAACGAGGGTAGACAGGGACAGGGAAGGAACAGCCTTCCCCAAGTTCCTGCCCTCTTCCTCCCTGAGTCCCCTCTGCCCTGTCAACCCTCCTGCCCCCACTCCAGCCCTCCTCTCCCCTGACCTTCCCTCCCAGGGCCCATCCATCCCTGAGCCCTCCTTCCTGAGCCCAAGCAGAGGGCCACGGGGGTTTGGCCACATCCTGTCCTTGGCATTAGACCCCCAGTGTCAAGGTCTGCTGCCTCTCTGGGAAACACCCTCTAGTTCTCAAGACGTGGTGGGGCCCTTCTCCCTGCCCAGTCCCCCTTCAGGTGGCTCTTAGACTGGAGTCTCCTCTGAAAGCTGGAGTTACCCTCCCCCACCTTCCTGTCCTTTAGTAGCCATGTGACCTGGGGTGGGGGCCACAGCCACTCTGAATCCGAGCTGTCCAGGCTCCCCGCCTAGTTTGACCTTGGCCAAACCATGGCTTCCTGACAGGTACCACAGGTGACCTGCCTTCGGGGGCTGTTCTAGGGGTCCCTGGACCACAGCACAAATGGACAGTCCCCTCCAAGTGCTTGGTAACACTGGGACCCAGCAGTTTCACACAGTTTCGTCACTGGTATTCATTTCTGCGAACGCCGGTTCATTCGTATTTATTTACTAGTTCTCAGGCATTTGACAAATACTGCCACCAGTCACAGGCAGACAGGCTCGCTGGCCCCATTACAGAGCAATCCCTTCCCTTAATGTTGACGGATGGCTGGCTAATTTGCTGGCAGTTGACACCGCACTTGAAGTCACCTTCCCAGGCAGCCTCTGCACGCAGGCTGTGGGGTTTGGGGACACAGAGCTCCAGCGTTCATGATGCGATGATCCCCCTACTCCTCAGCATCCCCCCYGACCCTACCCACCTCTTGCCATGCCCCTCCTCATGAGGACACAGGGCGGTGACAGCATGGTTCTGCCCCTAGCTGGGCTACGAGCCTGGAGCCCTTTCCTCTCCCGGTTCTGATTGCCTATCTGTGAAATGGGAATGCAGCCACTCTCACCTTCAGAGCAGGGGCGAAGAAAGGACAGGCAAGATTAAGCCTTCTGGGGCTGTTCTGGGGCCCTTCCAGGGTTCTGAGGTCCTTTCCAGGGACCTCACCCGCCCCTGCCCTAGTAAGTGATCCGGGAAAACCTGAGGCCACAGTGAATTTGGCGAGTCCTTCCTTCAGGGTCACAGAGTGGAATGGAGACTGAGGAAGTCCAAGGGCAGGAGGAGCCCTGGAGCCAGGAGGCCAGGCACGGAGGCTGACATCAGTGCCCGCCCCGAGCCCCTGCTGCGCCCTTGACTTTGAGCCTGAGGCTTTGGCCATGCCAGCCAGGCCTTCTGTGTGGCCTTAGAGTGGCAGATGTGCCACCTCCTCAGGGAGTGTGGTTTGGAGCAGCCTCCTGCCTGCATATCAGCCTTGGCCTTCTGAAAAAGCAGAGAGGAGGCCCAAGTGACTCCTGAAGCCCTGGTGCCCTGCTGGCCTGGCAGAGGTCAGGGGTAAAAAAAGGCAAAGAACCTGGACTCTCTGTCCCCACTGCTCTGGAGCCAATAAGCCTCAATGTCTAGCATTTATTTAGCATCTACTGTGTGCCAGACTCTGTACAAAGGGCTTCGAGGGCATCACCTACCTTAATCCAAAGACACCCTTAACAGGCTGGTCATGTCCCTGGTCATGTTCCCATTTCACAGAAGTAAAAGGCAAGGCTAGGAAAAGCATATGGATTTGCCCAAGGTCGCAGAGCTAGTAAGCTGGGGTGTCAGGACTAAAAAGGGGCTACCTGGCTCTACTGTGTGTCGCCTCAATAACTGTCCCCCATGGCCTCAACAGAGAAGGCTGAGCCTCAGACATCTGAAGGAAGGGAGACTCAGAGGTGGTGGCATACTTGAGATTTCTCTGTGCAATAATCAGATGACATCTCTGGGCCCTCAGTGTCCCCAGCAAGACACATGGGGCAAAGAAACCCTCCCCACACCTCTGAGATGTTTTAAACCAACATTCCCGCCCCCAGCAATGCCTGGGCTGGGCAGCTTGCCCATGACCAGATGGCCCTAGGGTGAGTCCTAGGCTTCTGCACATGGGCCACTCCAGGTCTTAGAGAAACCCTCCTCTCCACCCCCACACGCTCCACAGACCCCCGGCTACGGGGCTTGGACCCTGTCCACAGCCCCCTCTCSAGAAGCTGGGGAGCTGCCCCAGACTTGCTCTTGGGCCATCTCCTCCCCTATTCTGCCTGGCCCGGGGTCTTATGCCAGTGACCCAGCTAGCCTCTGCCTCTCTCCCGGGGTCTATGAGTCAGGGGCTGAGTGCTGTTGAGGGCCTGTGCTGTTCGTCTCTGCTGGTGACAATGACAAGCTAGTGTCCTAAGGAGAAGGTGACATGGAACGGTTGTTCTGTGTCTTCAGTTGCTCACAGAGAAGCCACCACTCCTTCTTTCTGGGCCTAGGGACAGCCCAACTGGCCAGCCCCAACAAGCAGCCAGGCCAACAGACTGGCATTTCCAGGGGACGTCGAGACTGCAGTTCAACAGGAGCTGGGGTGCGAAGGGCCCAGAGGTTGGTGAAGCTGGGTTACAGGCCTCAGCACAGGTGGCCTGCACCCCACCCCAGCATACCGGCCCCAGTCCTGCCTATCACTGCTGCACAGGAACCTGAGTCTGCAGAGAGTCGGGTCAGGGGCCGGGTAGGAAGGAACCCGTTCTCCTGCTCCAGCCCCCCGTGCAGAGCCAGTRGGTCCCCAAGTCCACTCTCCCTCCTAGATTACGTGTGTCCCTTGTTTTCCCTCCATTCTCAGGATCACTCTGACTCACCATCTCCTACATGAATCCCGACAGTGGCTCAGTGTCAGCCTCCCTGCTTCCAGGTCCCTGTCCCCACTGTGTCCAGGTCCCTCTCCTCCAGCCACACAGCACTGGAATCATCTTCAAACTCACCAGTGCCTCTCCATCACCAGCTACTCATTTACCAAAACATGTTGGATGCCACAACACGGCAGGCACAATGCCAGGCACCAGGGACATCACAGCCAAGTAGACAGAGATGGCCCGTGCCCTCAGGAATTCCAGGCCAGAGCAGGACACAGACAAATCAAGAGAGAATTACTGGAGCATGAATCACCTGCCAGGGTCTGGGAGGGTTCGGTTGCTATGGAAACACAAATGCCGGCCCTGAACCTGGTGGCGGGATCTGTCCTGCTGTCGACACTGATAGAGGCGAGTCTTGGTGCTTTAGCCGTGCTGGTTTCCACAGGGTGAGCCTGGACGGTCATCAGGGAGTCCAAGGACGTGTTTGTTTTGAGGCCCTGAAGACTTGCCACTTGCTGCCTGCTAATGTTTGTTGGAGGAGTGCAGGGAAAGACCAAGGGGAGGAAGCGAGATGGGATCCTTGAGAAAGAAGAGCATGAGTGGGAGGGTTGGCCCTGCAGTGGGGACAGACACAGGGTGGGGATCAGATGGCAGGGACAAGATAGGACACTCCCCCATTCCCTGTTCTTGTCCTGGTGTGTGTCTTCTGCCAGGGACAAGGAATGACCTGTAGCCCAGAGAGGTCATGACAYAAGATTCACTCAGTAACAGCCACTAGAACCCGCTATGTGTTAGGGGAGAGGCGAGGTGCAGAGATCCTGGGGGGCAGCAAGGACCCAGTCCAGAGGCAGAGATGTCTAAAGGACTGGGGGGCCAGGAAAGCGCTGTGACCGTGTTGCAGAGAGGGGATGACGGACCCTGGGGCAGGGGCAGGGGCAGGGGCAGGGGTAGTGGTAGTCCCTGGCCTGAGTTTGGGCTCCAGGAGTGAGAACAGGGCAGAGAAGTCAGGAGCGCCCATCAGAGGCCCAGAAAGGGGAGTAAAGGATGTTCCATGGGACCCAGACAAGCCCCTTGGCAGCCTTGATCTGGCAGCAGCGGTCCTGCTCTGAGGACCTCCCAAGGCTGCTGTGAGGATCAGCCATCAGTGAGGCCAAGTAAGCAGAAAAGGCCATGCCTGCCATGTGCGGTGGCACACCCCTGTAACCCCAACAGCTGGGGAGGCTGAGGCAGGAGGATCACAAGTTCAAGGCCAGCCTCAGCAATTTAGCAAGACCCTATGCAGCTTAGCAAGCCCCTGTCTCAAAATAAAAAATAAAAAGGGCTGTGGGTGTGGCTCAGTGGTTAAGCACCCCTGGGTTCAATCCCTGGTACAAAAAACAGGGGGTGGGGGTGGGAGGTACCTCTGTCCAAGCCAGGATTCTTGCTTCTCCCAAAAAATATCTCAGAGATGTGGGACAGCAACCTCTGGGGCTGGAGTCTAGCACACACCTGGGTCAGCTCTCCCCACCTCTGGGAACAACTTTTTTTTTTTTTTAACTTTTTCTCATGATTGTTGAGTCTCCCTGTGCGGCTCAGGCTGGCCCTGAACTCCCTCGCTAAGTGATGCTCCCACCTTAGCCTCCTGTGTCGCTGGGACTAGGGCCACCCCTGACCTGACTCCTCCCTCGGTCTGGTTGTGTTTGGGTGGTTTGTCGGCCTGGTGCACATAGATGGGCCTTGGGCCTCCTCAGCACCGAGGGCCTGACCGGGCTCTGTGGTCAGGCAGGCGTGTGCCCTTGTGACCCTGGGCTGGGGAAGAGGCAGAGGGAGAGAGCAGAAGCCAGGAAAGCAGGCCTGCAGCTCTCTGTGCCCCACAGGTACTCCGAGGAGGAGATCCGGCAGAAGGTGGGAACGTTCCGGCAGATGCTGATGGAGAAGGAAGGAGTGCTCACCAGGGAGGACCGACCTGGGGCCCACATGTGAGTGCTCCCTGGATAGGGGCAGGGTGGGCACAGAGGGGAACCAGAGGGGCCTGTCCAGGTACTCCCTCAGGGGGTCAGCGCTGGGGTGGGCGCTGGGGTGGGTGGAGGAAGAGAGAGCATGGACCCTGCTCGCTGGAAGCTGTGACCTGGCCCAGGGCACAAGACGGAAACCCGCACACCAGTACCTTTCCTGTGATGGCCAAAGGCTTAGCAGGTCACGAGGGTGTGGGCTCCATGGAGGCCTTGTCTCTGCGGCCTCAGGGCAGGGCAGCAGTGGTGAGCTGTGGGCCTCTCGGCGGGTTTTGCTCAAACAGGGACGTTTGGGACTCGGAGCAGAGTAGAACCGCACAGCACTTGAAACCACGACGAAAATGGGTCTAGCTGCAAAAATTAGATGGGTGGGCACAGGCTGTGCCTGCTGGGGTCCAGCTGTGGCTGGAGGGCTGGCCCAGCTCCATGCCTGCCAGGTGGTGTGTGCTCGGGGGTGCTATTGAGTCCACTTGAATGCATCTTCACCTTGCTAACCCCTTATTTCCTCACCAGCTCCAGCATCCCGGGCTTCTCTGGCGGGAAGTGTAGGACAAGGACCCCAGTAGGGATTGGGAAGGCCTTCGCTGCAGACTCTCTGCTCTGCTAGGATGGACTCTTCCCCAAGTGGCCCAGTTGAACCTCCTCTCTCTGGTCAGGGCGGTAGTGAAAGCAGTCAGAGTCGACCTCTGGTTTGGCAGGGAGGTTCAAGGGTGACCTCGGGAAGCCAGGCTCAGCCTTCCCAGTCTCTCCTCCTCTCTGGACCCTGGGTGAGGATCCAGGGTTGGCCGACACCAAGTCCTTCCCTTCAGCCGCCCAGAACTCACCACTGCCGCACCATTCCCTGTCTCTGTGGGCAGGGCTGACCCTTCTCCTCCCTTCTCATCGTCCTGACAACCAGATTCTCTCTGATGCTGCCACAACAAGAAGACCCTGGCTCTCTGACTTGTGCCCCTAACACTGCCCCAGGGCCCTTCTGGAACACCACCCATGTTTTCCTCTCTCATGTGAGTGAGAACAAGAAGCCTCTGGATCCAACTTGTTCCACTGTCTCAGAGCCTTCCCTGTGACAACTGTCCCCTCCAGCTCGAGCTAGAAGTTCTTCCCTTTGGCCTAATTCCTATTCCAAAGAAAACCGCACTCCCTCAACCCTGCTTTCCACTTAGCTACGGTCCCACATTTCCTTTCCTTTATCAGCCTAATTTTCATAAGCACCCACTGTCTCCACCTCTTTAAGCCATGGAGATGTGGCTCTGTCCCCATGACTCTGAGACCTGCTTGGCCACGGCCACCTGGACTCCACTTCCCCTGGCCTGTGGCCTCTCTCTAGCATGTGCCACCATTGCGCTTCCCCTTCTGAAAGCTCACTTTCCCCTCTGCTCCCAAGGGGCAGCTCCCCAGGAACTTCCTCTGCCCCTCTGAGGGCTTCTGCTGTGTCCCCTTCCCCTGCCCACTTCCCAGAGGTTGGTTTTCCACTAAGCTGTCAGTTCCAGGAAGACAGGATCTTAGTCATTTCTTTTGCTTGTATCTGGTACCTAGAACAGTGTGGCTCACCCAGTTTCCCCCAAAACCTCGGTTTCTCCATTCATGCAGCAAGAGAGAAGCCGACTTACAGTTCACGCAGCAGGAATGATATTCAAATAGTCCTCCAAACAAGGAAGAAACTGGCTGTCAGGGCGCAAGTGGGGGGAGCTGTCCGTGGTGCTGAACACAGACTGCCCTGGTCTGAGGCACAGAGGTAGCAAAGAGRGAGGGCAGGCCGAAGTCTGGTCTTGCTCCTTCCTCTGACCGGGTCTTCACATCTCAGCTCACTTCTTAGAAGGGGTATGGGAGAGTGAGTGTGGGCTCTGGAGACAGACACCACCTGTCCAAATCTCTAATTTCCCAATCCCCTGTGCGGATCCCAGCTCCACCAAACCCAGTATGTGACTTGGGCAGGTCCTTGACTTCTCTGGGTCTCCATTTATTTACCTATGAAATGGGGATGTGAGTGTCTGTGTCATAGAGTTGTTGAGGATATTAAACGAGACAGTGGCGGGGGACGGTGCCTGGTATAGAGCAATCACACATCACGACCTGAAAATCACCACCACCATCCCATAATCACCCGGCGAGGGCAAATGCCCAATTGACCTTGATTTCTCCCCTTCTGCCTGGCTGTCTCCATCCTCTGCCAACTGAGAGGCTCCCTCCAGAGCCTATGAAGCCCTCTGATCCCGCAGCAGGCCCTGTGCTCCTCTGGCCTCCCCCCACCGTAGACTGGTATATGGGGACATGGAGAGATTCAATGCCCTCTTAGGTTTAAATGGCAAAGCCAGACACACTCAGGGGGGTGGGGGGGAAGACTATAAGAGCACATGCTGTCTTCACCCACAGAGGCAAGGTCACTCCCAGAGCTTTCTGTCCCCAAGGGCCATCCTTCTTTCTTAGGTTAACTGGTTTGAGTGACAGCTCCTTGTAACAGTCGCCTCTCCCCTAACTGGACACCAGAACATCATACTGTTGCAATGTCTAGATATGACTCCATGGACSTTGGGAACCAAGTGGGATGTGGTCAGCAGGTGTCTGGGCACTTTCCCCTTTGGGAGGGAGATCACTTGTTGAAACTGGAGGGACACTAATGAGACAGCTGGGGCTTGAATTGGGCTGTTGCAAGGAGATGAAAGAGAAGAGGTAAGGTGCCAGGAACATTGAAACCAGATGATCTTATGGCTCTGGAGGTTGCTTGGATGTGTTAAGGAGCCTCAGGTGGCTGAGGCTCCTTAGCACCCATGAAATCAAGCCTGGCTTCCTTTGCTGGTGTCCAAGCCTCCCACTCCCAGAACCCAGCCCCACTCCCACCCTCAGCATGGGCCRGCCTGACCTGCTTGCTGTTCCTTGGCGTCCTGAACATTCTCACTTCCATCCTTTGTTTATTCTGGACCCTCAGTCCCCAAACGCCCTAGCCCCCTTCACATGGGTTCAAATATACCCCTCATGCAAGCAGCCTCTAAAAACTGCATTGCTGATCTCCCTGGGGGAAAGTTGCCTCTTCTTCTCTTCTGAGCACATTCAKCATTTTCCGTGCTTCTCGCAGCTGCCTTCAATTCTTATTTTTTCCCCAGTCCAACAAACAACCTTTAAGAAACATTGTTTTCATAGTTATATAACAAAATCCTGTTTGTGGAAAACAGTGCTCATAAGCTATTTCCTTACATGAACAGAAGGACCAAATGCCAGGTTTTCCCCGCAGTGTAGCTGGGGGTATACAGAGTGTGAGTTCTGGGTACCTTCTAGTTTCATCCACAAGATGGGAATATTAATGGTGGTCCCTGTGTCATAGAGCACTTGATGATTCAATGAGATAAGTACATGTTAATTGATCGGATAGTGCCTGGCACCTGGGTTGGTAATTGTAATAAGCAGCAGATCACCGCGTGGTGCTAGAGCTGATCCGGCCCTGTTCCTGCTCCCACCCAAGGTCCACGACAGTCCTGGCATGCAGTCTGAGTGGCTGAGCAGAGAGGGCAGACCCCATGCCTGGAATCCCCCATCGTTCTGGATGCATCATCTGCCAGCTGGCCATCATGCTCCAGGCTAATGGGAATCAGAGTTAATTAGCAGAACTGCTGGCCTCAGGAAGAGCACRTGGCCTGCAGTCTTCACAGGGTCTGAGCTCTGCCAGGGTGGCAGGTCCAACGTATGCCTCACAGGGCTCTGTGTCCCACTGCAACACGTCTTCTGTCCCTCAGCAGCAAACTGTCTGCACCTACTTTGGTCATTTCTTCAGGGCTCAGTCTGTTGGCATAGTGGGCAACACCTCCTGTGCCCACTCCATGGACATGATGAGGGTCAACTAGGTAACAAACATGAACCGCAGAGTATAAAACATTAAATACATCCAGAGCACWCATCTACAGCCGTCCCTATACAGCAGGGAAGGGCCAACTGAGCTAAAAGCCCCAGCTCTGGATATGGGCAGGGAAGGTCCACCAGCAAATTCAAGGCCTGTCCTATTGGCACAAGAATTCTCAAAGCCAGTTGTAGCCAGGTACAGTGGCCCACGCCTGTCATCTCAGCAGCTCAGAAGGCTGAGGCAGGAGGATCGCAAGTCCAAAGCCAGCTTCAGCAACTTAGCTAGTCCCTAAGCAACTCAGTGAGACCCTGTCTCTAAATAAAATACAGAAAAGGAGTGGGGATGTGGCTCAGTGGTTAAGCACCCCTGGGTTCAATCCCCAGTACCAAGAAGAAGAAGAAGAAAAAAGCCAGTTGCATAGCTGAACTTAATACTTACTTTAAAGGCCTCAACTCTACAAGGACTATTCCTTTCCCTCTCTGGGTCTGTTTTCCCATCTATAAAATGGGTACAGGTAGTTTCTTTAAGTTAGAAAGTGGGATAGTGAAATGCCGAGAGCCATTTAAACAATAGAGAACATAATTCTTAGTGATATTATCATTCAGGGGAAATAAGATAGGAGAACCCAGGTTCTAGCCCTGGGAGATCYCCTCAAAACAGATGTAGGGGAACCAGGAGCACAAAGCCAGCAAAGGGGGCTGAGGGCTGAGATGTAGCTCAGTGGTACAGCACATGGTCAGCAAGCTCAAGCCCTGGGTTTGATCCTCAGGACCTCAAAAAGCAAAGAGAAATGAAGCCAGCAAGAGAAGCCTCAGTCCACATCCATTTTTGTCCCTGAAACTCCCAGAACAAGTCCTAGAAGGCTTTAAGGCTGGGAACGTGGCTCAGTGGTAGAGCACCTTCAATCCCCAATATTGCAAAACGCAAAATAATTAAAAAAGAAGATACAGAAGGATTTGAGACCTTGCCTCTMTCCCCAGGCCTGCTACAGTACCCTAAGCCCATCCTCCAATGCTCCCAGCATTTAAGACCCCAATGGTCTACCTAGCAGGGACAGGAACATGAGAGAGACCCTTTCTAGGAGGGCGGATGGGAGAGGCAGTTAAAGGAGGGTGGGGAGACAGTGTTCCGCAGGAGGTGCTACCCAGACTGAGCTATTTTATTTTGTAAATAACCTTCAGCATGTTCGTGTCGGGATCAACTGAAGCTCTCGCTCCCACTGGCTCACCCACACACTATTTGAGGTGCCCTTATGTTTTGCTAAAGACTGTATTTTATGTGTCAGACGTTCCTGCGGATGATGAGCTGTGTAGGGGGTGACGGGCCCTCGGAGCATAGAGGGCTGGGCAGGCAGAGGGAGTTGGAGATTCAAGGACAGGGTCAGGAGGTAGGAGGCTACCAGCTTCAGGGAAAACCCACAGAGAAGAGCAGAGAAGTTTGAATGAAGGGATGCGGGGGTGTTTGGCTCTGCGGGGGCAGGAGGGTGACCTGAGTCTCTCCTTCATCGCCCCAGATAAAACTCCCTACTACCTGGGTGGACTCCAGGGCTGTCAGAGCCAGCTCAATGTTTGGGAATTGGATGACACTCTTGAGACTGGCCTCCAGGCTAGATAACCCTGTCATTTTTGGGTTACATTTTTATTCTTAATATAAATTTTGTCTTTAAATGGTCCATTAGTGGCCGCATGCTGGAGATTTGTTCTCTTCTTTGGCTCTGTACCTATGACCTGCCTCCCTTTCCTCCGTCTCTCTCTGCTCTGCAGCGTCATTTCTCCCTGGAACAGGCATTGGTGTGTAAGTGCTGGCAGGCCCCCTGCCTGACAGTGTCTACCAGGTGCAGGCAGAACTGTCACAGGCCAGGCCTCATGTCAGGGGCTTCACAGAAAGAAGCTTCCTTAGCCCTCTGCTCAAAGCTGGGATCTTCTTTTCCTCCTTGTATAGATAAGGACCTCGATCTGCCAGCGTGGTCCTGCTTGGACCCAAACCCACCTGTGTGAATCCAAAGCTCATGTCCTTCACACTCTGCATTCAAGCCCTGGCCTCCCTCTGTGGGGGGAAGGATGAGCTAGGCTGGTGGCACCAAAGATAGAAGGCAGTTCTCCTGAAACCAGGGCTGAGCCTCCCTCTGGGAGGGGCCCCACCTGAGCCACTAAGGATGACAAATGGAAGATGAGGGTTCACCACCCTGGAACCCATTATGGTAAAGCCAGGGAAAGTCACTTGTAAGCTTCTTGGAAAAAAAAAATGCCCAGCATCCATTACTTTCATGAAATTTCCCAAAAGTCACTCCCATCCTGGAGAAGAAGCCCAGAGAAGGCCTGACAGGGCTGGGGGTGCGGCTCCCTCTGGACTGTTTGCCAAGCATGCCCAGGGCCCTAGGTTTAATGCCCAGCACCGAAGGAAAAATAGGGAGATGGGGGCGGCCAGGGAACATGACAGGTCCTCGGCCACGCAGTGACTCAGGGACAGCGCATGAGAGCTTGTCTGAGGCTTTCAAAGCCCTTGCTCTTCCCGGCTGCCTGTAGATAGGAAAACAACAGAAAGGCGAGTAGGGACGAACTCCACTCTGTAGCAGATGATGGCTGGGGGCTCCGCTGTTGAACTGGGACAGGAGGTTGTCGGTCCCCACTGAGTGAAGCAGGGACTTCTGCGACATGGATGGCGAGTGTGGGAAGCGGCAGAGTGCTGAGGCCCGCACCCTCCACTGCCGGCGGGTGATTGATGAGGACATCCCGGGAGCGGGAGATGAGCAGCAAGGGCTCAGGAGGCTGCAGAGGGGAGAGAGGAGAGGCTATGAATATTTCAGAGGCTGAGGCCAGGGCGGGAGGAAAGGAGGGGAAGAGGCGGGAGCCATCGGCAGGGGGCTCAGGGACTCAGAAAGACCGACATCAGCCAGGGGGAGGTCAGGAGGGAGTAAGAGAATGGGGCTCAGGGAGGGAAGGAGGGCGGGGAGGGACTCCTGAATAGTGCGGTGGGGTTCAAGGACACAGGGATCAACAGGGGGCTCAGTGAGGGGGTGGAGTTCAGTGAGTGGGACCGGGACAGAGGAGGGGACTCGGTGAGGAAGAGGCTCAGGAAGGAGGGAAGACTGAGAAGGGTGGAACTTGGAACTTAGAGGGCTAAGTGGGCACCTGGATGCTCCTTTTTYTCTTTGCAAACATTGTCACCGAAGGCTGAGGACCTGGAAGGGCAGARCTGGGTTAGGTTACCCAAATCTCCGCCTGATCTTTAAGGGTGGGGGCCGCAGATGCTGCCGCCCGAGCTGATGACCCCCAGGTCCCTTCCTGGAGCCACCGCCGCACCCCCGCGGACCTTGGGGCMAGGTCAGCGCGTGGGATCCAGGAACGGGCAGTGGGAAGGAGGTCCGCAGAGACAGGTGGTCAGAGTCCTTGTTGCCTGCAGCGTGGCGGAGACCCCACGGCCAGCAGAGGGTGCAGAGCCGGGCCTGGAGTACGCGCCCTTCGAGGAGGATGACGGCCCAGTGGATTGCGACTGCCCGGCCGCCTGCTACCGCGGGCACCGCGGGTACAGGTGAGCGTCGCCAGGGCGGAGGGGAGGGCAGCGCGGGGCCGCCCCACTCACCGCCCTGCGCCCCTTCTCGCCCAGAACCAAGCACTGGTCCAGCAGCTCGGCGTCGCCCCCTCCCAAGAAAAAGAAGAAAAAGAAAGGCGGCCACAGAAGAAGCCGGTGAGAGGCGCAGGGCTCCGGGACAGGCGTGGGGAGGGGGAGGGACCCCCAGGTGCCTGTCCTTGTCCAGCCATATCTGTGAGCCCTGCACCTGTCTCAGCTCCTCCTACTGCTAAACACCTTCCCTCACTCAACTCCTCCCCTTCTCTAGGCCCCGCCCCCTCATTGAGCCCCTCCCCTTCACCAAGACCCCACCCCCCCAGAACTGAACACAGCAACCTGCCTGTGATCCAACAACCTGGCCCTCCCCCAAGGTTTCCGCACCCACCGCCCCAAATGTGTGGTGCCTCATCTGTCATTCCATGGCCCCCCTTCCCTGCCCTGAGTGACACCCTAGGGCCCCAACTAACATATCCATCTGTCTGTCCTTTCTCCTGGCTTCTACCCTCAGCAAAAAGAGGAGACTAGAGTCAGACTGCAGGTCAGTAATGAGGGTGGTGGGCAGGCTGGGACTCAGGTGGGGCATGTCTGTGGGTGGGACAGACCCCAAGGCCATCCTGCTGGAAGAAAGCCTCACACCTTAGGGCTTGAACTCTGGACTCTGTCACGGGGCCAGCTTTTCCTCACAGAGGCCAGTACTCCCACCATTGGAGGCTCTAACCTTTGGGATTCCAACCACCTTACCAAGGGGCCTGGAAGGGAAACCGGGACACAACACAGACAGCCATCTTTAGGGACCTCACCAATCCAATCTTTGGGCCTCAGATCACACTGAACTATGGGCAGCTGGGCTTCATGGCCTGGAATCCCCTTCCCAGCTTCCATACCCCAGCCCCCAAGCCTTTTCCAGTCATTTCCAGCTCCCCTCCCAGCTCACCCCTGTGTCCACAGCTGTGGGAGCGCCTCACCCCTGCGCAAGAAGAAGAAAAGTGTAAAGAAGCACCGCAGAGACAGGTACCTTACCGCCCCACCCTCCACCCAGCCTCCTCTCGCTTCCATGGGCCCATCGGGATCCCCAGGCCAAGCCCAGCCAGCTCAGGAGAGCTCCTTTATCACCACACAGGTCTGATTCCGGGTCCCGGAGGAAGAGACGGCACAGGTGAGCAGTGCTGTGCAGAGCATGGGTTAGGGGCTTAGGGTCCCTGAGGCCCACCCGAAGCAAAGATAATGACAGGAGATGAGTCATGAGTCTGGCCCAGCTCCATCCTCTGACTCTGGGAACTGCTTCTCAGAGCCAGGTGGGGGTGGGTAGCATACAGACCAATTCTTTGCAACTTTTGTCTGCCCAGGAGTCAACCTTGACATAGGTGGCTCAAGAATTTCCACTACCCAAGGGGTGTGTCTGAGAAAGYAGCAGCAGCAGGACTCCAAATGTGCAGGGAAAGCAGATGGCAGGCAGAAGGACCTCCATGCGTGGAGGGCTCAGTGCTGCAGCAGACAGTGGTCAGGCTGGGGCTAGAGCTGAAGCTTCCGAGGGGCAGGTACCAGTCCCCTACAGGCTTGACTAGTGGGCCTGGGAGCCCGCACCGGTACTCTAAGCAGGATAGTGACTTATCCAGGACATGCTGGGGGAGGGGAAAGAAGGAGAGGWGAGGATAAGAGAGGCCCAGGCAGGGAGGGGGGTTGGCCAAGGGGCAGCAGAGAGGTGAGGCCAAGAAGGTAGGAGACTCAGCACAGCCGGGGTGCCTGGGACCGAAGCTGTGGGGCAGTTACATTCCTATAGTTGACGTCAGAGCCAGACCTCCTTCCAGCAGCCCTGAGGAGGGACAAAGTCCCCAGTCCCTTCCCTGTGATGGGACCTCAGTGCCTGAGACCACTGGGCAACACCTAATCCTGCCCCTGCAGTTTCCCCAATTTCCCATCCTCCCTCCACCCCACCCACACACCACCCAAGCCTATGGGTCATTATGGGCCCCTGCTGTCCCAGCATGGTCACCATCAGCATGGGGCCTGGAGAGGACCTGGAAGTGAGCAGGGCTAGACCAGCTTCCTGAGGAGACTGGGGCCTAATGGAGATGTGCAACTTCCGGAGCCCAAACCCTTGGCCTCCTGGGCCTGTCCTCACTCAGTCTGCTCCTGGGGGAAGGGCATGTCATGTATCGTCACATTGCTTCATTCTGGGATCAGAAGGACTAAAGGAATCTAATGTCACCAGTGAGAGGTGGCATCAAGGAGGGTGGCATCTACAGGGACTTGGGGCAGCTTGAGTCTTTGAGACCTAATTGGAAGTTTCTCAAACTTTCCATCAAAGGCAGAAGGTACTGGGGTTGGGGGACCTGCCCCAGAGAACTGTATGGGGACAGGGGTGAGCAGCTTTGGGGAAGCCCTGGATATGGATCCAGAAGTCATTGAAAAGCAAGGAGATCGTGCCCAAGAGAAGCACCTCTATCCCAAAGCCCAGGTGAGCTGCCCGMAGCTGGGTCATAGCCTGAGAGGAGAGGGCATAAAAGAGGTATGAAGGGGCCAYTTACCACAGTAGCTCATTAGGGGGCCTGTCCCAAGATATGTCATAGGCCATGCAAGTCACCTTTTCAACCCACCAGAATTGTACCCTGATGCTGCCAGATCCGCAAAAAAATCCCCCTTTCCTCTCGGGGCCTTGAAGCACCCTAGCAGATGAGACAGCAGGTCCCTGTCAGCCAGGGAGGAACATGTTTCAGGCCGTAGCCAAGCATAGTTCTGCTTCAGAGCTCCAAGACCCCACACACCTCTTGTTCTGCTCAGGCTTGGTCTCTGCTTCCCACAGATCGAGGAGCCCCAAGAGCAAAAGAAAAGAAAAGAACAAAGAGAGGAAGAGGTAAGCCCTTCCCCCTCCCTTCCACCTCTGCCCTGGCCTTTTAGCATCACAAAATGAGGCCTCAAAGAGAGCTGGCTCCCAGTGCCCACCTTGCCCAGGGGRAATTGATCCCACCCCCAGAGAGGAAGCCCTAGGTGAGTCAGTGGCACTGATGGAACGCAGGCCGTTGTCTGTCTCCCAGTCCAAGGTCCTTTCCATCCCAATCTTTGTGACCCCCTGCCCTCCCCAATCTCAAGTCACAAGAGCAGCAGGTGAGGGATGGCTAGCCAGGCTGGAACTGCCTAGGGAAAAAAAGACGCCTTTTCCTAACTGTGACACTTGACCTGTAGGGGCCGCTGTTCTCTGCAGCCAGCACTAGCTGCCTTTGGATAGTTTTATAGGAAACCATGGGGATCTGCAGTGACCTCCATCAGACTTCACCGGGTCCCTGCAGGCAGGTCAGGCAACCCCAGGGCAAAAGTGGGCAGAGCTTAGGCACTAGCTGATTCCCCTCCCCCACGCCAGGCCTCACGCAGAGTCCCCAAGCCGAAGGTCCCACCRCCACAGCAGTGGCAGTTCCCCCAGCCCCTCGCTGTCCTCGCACTTCAGTGACTCCGGATCACCTAGCAGGTAGGCTTGGCTCTGAGAGGGCTCAAGGTGGGCTTTTTTTTTTTACTTTTGGGGGTGTGGGGTGCGGGTATTGCAGATTCAGCAACCCAGGGCTGGTTGGCAGGGCTGGTGGACRGATGTCAAATGATCAGTAGGTAGTGGTTGGCCGGGGTCCTGCAGGTGACCACCTGCAGAAAGAGCTGAGGTGCCACATACCCTGAGGCGGAAGGCAATCATGACAGTGCGGCTACGTTCAGGTCCAAAGGAAGGGTGGGAGTGTCCCCGCTGCATTCGAGGGAGCGGCCTCCAGCAGAGGGGGCTTCCCACGCGGGCTCCCCCATTCCCCCGCCCCCAGGCTGAGCCCCAAGCACCGAGASGACGGGCGAAAGACGGGCAGCCAGCGGTCCAGCGGGAGCCGGTCGCCTTCCCCGTCAGGCTGCAGCGGATGGGGGTCGCCCCAGCAGAATGGCGGCAGCAGGCAGCGGAGCGGAGCGCACCGTGGCCGCCCTGGCTCGGCACACAGCCCGCCCGATGTACGTATGCTCTGTTTTGCTGAGGGTTCCCGCGCGCTGTGCGGGATGCGCCGTTTTTTTGGTGGCGGGGTGATGTGGTCACCAGAGGGACGGACACGGACACGAGTGTGTCAAAGGGGCGGGGCTGCTTCCTCCCTACCCCTGCGCCCAGCGGCCTGTAYCCCCATCGAGGGCGGGGCGTCGTGGCACCGGAATCTCCAGGAGTGCTCTGGTTGTTGGGCCCACCCGGCCCTAATGGCAGGGTGAAAAGGGCTTGTAAGCTTGGGCCACCCTTGAGCTTGGCGAACTGAAGGCCAGGCAGGGGCTGACCATCCAGGCACTCCGTTGGTACAGAACTAGGGAGRAACAAAGGTCTCTGCCTCCCCCAGGCCTAGCGGGGAGCGGGCAATGACATTGGTAGGAGTCATAGTCAGATACTGGAGTCAAGAAACAGGAGCACACTGCCCCCTCTTGGAGTCCCTCCCCTGACCCACTGCTAGCTCCTCTACCTCTCTCAGGTCCTCGCCCATCTCAGTCCCTGTGCTGCGACAAAGCTGCCTTTCTAAAATCCCTGCRCCCTGGAAAATCTGCCTCTTTGGGCACTGCCCACACTGGGACAGGTGTCTCAAACCTACTGTTCCACTTCCCACAACCTACTCTCCTAAGATACCTCCCAGGGAGCCGCCCTCTGGGGCTCCACACCAACACCGCCCACAAAACTGTCCCCACCTAAACTCCAGGAGATACACAGTCACCTCCACCCCACAGACAGGCGTGGTGCAGGCACGAGATGGCGGATGGGCTGGCTGGGCGGAGGTTCTCCAGACCCTGGTGTCTGTGGGTTATAGGGTACAGGTTGACACCCCTCAGAAAGAGGGGGGCGGCAGTGCTGGCAGGGGCACCCGTGAACTCTGGGACCTGGGGTAGGGAGGCCTGCAGGCTCCTCCCCAGACCCACAGACTGCCCTGGAAGCGGAGGCCAAACAGGGAGAGGTGCCCTCCACAGACCTCAGGTCTCAGCTTCGAACGTGTCCATGTCGGTCAGTTTCATTTTGATTTTTGGCTAATTCCCTCCACTCCCTTTCTTTTCTCAAACACCCTTCCCCTGGGGGGGGGGGCTCAGAAGAAAGGCAAGGACAGCCGATAAATGTCTCTTGATCTCAGTGTTGATTTTTTACTGAAGGACGTTATCTGTCTCTAGACTGTCCCACCTGAAAAAGATCCAGGCTCTTGGGCTGGCTTCCGGGACTGTGGTTGGGCCACATGGGAAAGGTCTAACTGAAGGCCCCGTCTGTCTTGGGAGTAGGAGAGGGCATGCAAGGGTAGCTGAGGGTAGTAGTGGCAGGGACAGAAGTGGGCGTGGCAGGGACAGAAGTGGGCGTGGCCACCCTCACCTGCCTGAGCACAGAGTCATTCCCCAGCGCAGGGTCATAGGGCGGGGCTAGACAAGATGCCCACTGGGACCCTGCAACCTGCTTAGCCCCAAATGCCTCTTCTTCAGCATCGCCTCCTCCTGGGACCTCCTGAAAGACACAATCACAGATTGTCTCAAACCAGGGTTGAGAGCCCCTTCCCCCTTCTGGTCCCTTCCTGGCTCTGGAGTTTTGAACAACTACCCCACCCCTGCAAGAGTTCTGGGCTCCTGCATACAAAATACCCCCACTGACTTGAGCAAGCTGATGAGGAAGAGGACCTAGCCTTGGAGAGGGAGACTCCGCAGCACCCATGTCTCTTTTCCCTCCCAAATGGTACTCCATGAGGATGTGGCCCCAGGAATGTTCCAGGGGCCCATGCTTTCACTCTGCTCGGAGCATTGGCCCCAAATCCTATTCCTGTCCAAGGACTTGGGAGATCTGGGGCCTTGAACACCCGGGTCTCTAACAAGCCCTAGCATCCCCTCTTTGCCTGAAAATGCTTTGGGGGGAGTTAAATGAGGCCCATTTCTCTCCCATCCAGAGAGGCGAGATGGGGGGCTGGGGTGTCACGGACTTGACCATTAACGACAACTACAAAAAAAAAGGGGCTTTGGACTAAAGTACTGGGGGTGGTATTCTTGGACCTACCTTTAAAAAGAGAGAGAGAGAGAGAGAGAGAGAGAGAAATGGAAAAAAAAAGAAAGAAAGAAAAAGAAAAAGAAAAGCTCAACATTTTTAACCCCGTCTATGTTTTTGTTTGTTTTTTAGCCTCTCCCATTTGAAACGTGGTAATATTGTGATTCCATTTCTTGTTTAGCCGGCAAGGGAAGAGGGTGGGGAAGGTTATGTCATTTTTCCTGTTATTTTGGTTTTTGTTCRTATTCCTTTTTCCTTCCTTATTTCATTTTTCCTGTGTAGTGTACAGAAATGCAAACTATCTCTCTGGGCTGTTTTTCCCCCCTGTCTTCTGTGTTGTTTTAGAATTTTGCTTTTGTGTGTGTCACTGTGGGAACCTTTCTTCCTAATGCAGAGATGGTTTTGAATTTTAAGTGAACATTAATCATAGACATATCTCTCTATACTTATTTTCCCCTCATTATCAGAATTTAAAAGGGAAGATAAATGCTAAACTGAAATGACATCCACACCGATTCTGCCAAATCAGCAGCAGCTCCCACTCCACCCAGGGCACCCCAGGGCAGGCACTGGAACTGTTGCCACTTTTAAATGAACAAAATCAGTGCTTCTGAGTCTGTGAAATTAAAAAATAAATAAATAAAAAGGGCTGGGGACGTGGCTCAGTGGTTAAGCACCCTGGGTTCAGTCTCTAGTACCAAAAAAAAAAAAAAAAAAAAAGTAGACCCAAGGCCTCTGACCTCAAGACCCCCTGTAGAGAGGTAGTAAATGGAAAGAATATGACGGGAGCCCTGAGCCAGAGGACAAGGATTTGGGAGAAGGATTCTGGCTGCCTTGGCTCCAGCCTTCCCCCACAGAACCCTCCAGAGGTCTATGGCATGCTTTAAGTCCTCCCAACTCCCTAGAACTGGGGCCTGCCCACACTGAAGAACTAGGGCACAAGTGGCCCCTTGTTCCAGAAGCACACTCTATTATTGCTGTCCAGTTCATGTACAGACAGGGAAACAGATAATTAGGCACAGAGAGGGAATGGAGCCACTCAAGATACACACCGTGGGATAGAAGAGTAAAATGCTGAGCAGGGGACCTCATGGGAGAAGTCCTTCTGTCTGGTGTCACCTGGAGCCTTTGCCAGGCTCCCTTCAGCTCCATGAGCCAGGCGGGTGCTAGCTTCCCCCACTCAGGCTCCAACACCCTGGCCATAAAGGTGTTCAGCATTTGCCCTCTTAGAAGTGGGGCCACTTTGGCTTTGGCCTTGGCTCCACCTGTCTCTAGCATTAGAAAGGTCAAGGAAGGGCTAGGGGTGTGTCTCAGTGGTAGAGCAGGCGCTCTGCCGAGGTCCTGAGTTTGGACCTCAGCACTGAAAAATAAATAAATAAATAAATAAATAAATAAATAAATAAATAAATGTGTGTGTCAGGGAGATTCAGAGGGGGCACCATTTGGTGATAGCGACAGAGAAGTCTCAGGGCAAACCTTCTGTGCTCTCTCTGGCCAACATTTCATCACACAGTGGGCAGCCTCCAGTAACCTCAAGAAGAGGTGCCTTGGCCCTCCCTGACCTGCCTCCTGCAGGAGGAACAGCGGCCACAGCTGCAGCAGGGCGGTCAGGATAGGAGAACTGCGGCTCTGCAGTTCTCCCGGGAYGTTCCCCTCATTTCCCAGGACAGAGCCAGAAGGCAGGAAGGATGAATTTTGCTAAAACGATGCCAATGCCCGTGGGCCAGGGACAGGGGTTGATCTGAGGCAGGACCGGTCCTCCCGATTGAAATTGTGGTTGTCTTCCCTTTTAAATGCACACCCCTCCTCCGCCGCATCTGTCCACTCCGGCCTTGTTTAAACAGCTTTAGCTTTTCTCTCTTCTTTCTGTCTGCGTCCACCTGTCTGTCTTTCTGCCTCCTTGAGTCTGTTTCCTTCCGCCATTGTATCAGTCCTCTCATTTCTTCTCCTCTCTCTGTTTCTGTCTCTGCCTCTCTGTGTCTGTCCATCCCTCTTCCTCTCTGCCCCTCTCCCTGGACATGGGCCTCTCTCCCATGCTGCCACCACCTCTTTACCCYGCTGTGGTTCTGCTGCCATCAGCCGCTTCCTGCATGCTCTCTGGAAGGTTCCTGTTGTGTAAAGAATTGAGGAAAGCTTGGCTGTCAAAGCCTGTGGTTCAAAAAAAAAAAGCAAACAGAAATGGCTGGGCAAAAGCCCCTTCCCATCCCTGGGRCCAGACCCCTCAACCACCACCTCACACTGGCTGCCCATCTGCTGGCTCAGAGGGGGAGTGCAGGAGCGTCACTGTCTTTGCCCCGTCTGCATTCCCAATGCGGAGACCTTCTTTTCTTTTTTATTATTGCATTCCTGTCCCTGACCACTGAGAAGAAGGTAGGTATCCTGGCTCCGCTGTGCGCTGCCCCCGCTCCATCTCAGATAAGCCCCGCCACTCTGCTTGGTTTGAATGTGGTTTTTCTTTCTCTCTCTTTCTCTCAACCTGGCTCTGGTTGGTTTTCTCTTCCTCCCTTTTCTTTATTTGAGTGACTACTCATTTGTAACCTGCACTTTCTCCAAATGAGCTGCAAATCTGTGTTCCCTGGTTTGTCATTTGGTTTTCTTCACTTCCCCTGATGACTTTTCTAGTCCATCTCCTCCTTCTTCCTCTCCAACCCCTCTGCCCGCCCCAGGCCCTCCTCCATCTCCCTCTTTCTCATTTTGTTGTCCGAATGCATTTCTGTGTGGTGTAGCATCCAACCGTGTGTCCCTGGACTGCGCGCTGCGGTGGAGCCAATTTGAATTCTGTTGTCTGGAGAGCTTCTAAACCCCTTGCCTTCATCCTTGCCAGCCCCTGGGGGTTTGGTCAGCCCCTGGCCCTCGGGGTCCACCTGGGCAATACGCAATGGTGGAGTGGATATGCTGGGCCTCTTGACCTCCGATCCTGGAGGAGTTTTTGATTGAGGTCAGGCACAAGGAAAGAGCCTGTTTTCCCTGCTCCCCKCCCTGGTCTGGGCCAACTGCACCAGGCTGACCTCTGGCTAGGTGCAGGTCCTTTTCTAGCAGCAGGATGGAACTTGGGGGTAGGAGACACAGGGCTCTGGGGCACCCACAGGCACTAAAATTGAGCCTCAATGCTCCATCTCTTAGGTGTGATGGTCTAATAACTGCAGGGGTTGAGCTGGCCAGGAGCAGGTGCAGGACTTTGAGGACCTATTTGACAAAGTCTCCATGGGGTGGTTTGGGGGATGCAGTGGACTCTTAGCTTCCTTTCCCCTGCCCACTAACCAACTTGGACAGCCCTCCCCCCACTCCCAGCCTCCTTTCAACCTCTGCACTCAAGCAGCTTAATGGTGCCATCGRTGCAGAATGATCCAAAAGGGACAGTCACTAGGGGGCCAGGATTCCCCCAGGGGTTGGGGCAAAACCAGGCTTAAGTCCTGAGACTTGTGACTCTCTACCCAGTGCTCATCCAGCCACACTGAGGGTACCAGCATTAGAGGCAGGCATTCAGGGACCCACATTTAATGGGTTCCTTCCCACCAGGGAGTATCTATAGAAATGTGGTGTCCCAACCATGCTGAGCCTCAGGGGGCCTCCAGCTTCAGCTTTGAAAAGAGAAGGCCTGGCTGTTACTCCCTACCCCACGGCTTACCCCAGGGCAGGTGCTGGGCACTCACCCACTAGAACACTCTTGCAGGCCGGGGTGGTGCTAGGAGGGGGACAAAATGGTTGTTCTTCCCAGAGGGAGAACAGAGGCAGCCTCCCAGCCTGACGGGGACCAGGAGGCTTTGCCCTGCAGATGGTCTGATGTRCCCAGGACCCCACAAGAGAGAGGTGACCACTGCGAGAGGCAGTAGGGAACAGGCCTAGAGCTTCCCATCCTGTCACTGGCCCTCAGAATCCCAGGATCAGGGGAGCATACCGTCCCTTTCTACATCCTCCCATGGTCTCTTCCCCTCAAGCTTTTCTTACAGGAGCCAAAGCAAAAATGTCAGCTAGCAAGTGGCAGCAGGGAGCAGGGCCTCTGAGGCAGGCAAGGCCCCTCGGCTGCCACTCACTCGCTCAGTTGCTGAGCAAAMAGGTGAGGCCCTGCAGGGTGTCTTCGCCAGGAGGTGAGCAGGCAGACCTGGGTCTGTGGTCCCTCCCCACCTCAGACTGGAAGCCTGGCAGAGATCTCTGCCTGTTGAGCAGAAGCTGGAAGTCAGGTGGGCAGTGCCTGCTCATCACAGTGGCCCCAGCCCTGGCACAGAAGGAACTGAGGAGCTGCTGTGGGGTCACAGAGGAGTGACCCTGACTCGACCTGAAGGCCAGGAGAGGCTGGGGAGGGGGCAAGAGCACCAGCCAGGCTGCAAAGGAAAGGGAGGGAGAAAGAAAACATTAAGAAGGAGGAAAAAAGTAAAAAGAAAAAAGAGCAGGCTTCCTAGAAGTCATTGGGAGGTCTCTGGCCCCCACAGTCCTGCCCAGCTGTGGAGTATGGAATCCCGTGGTGTCTGGCCTCTGATCTTCCTTTGAGGGAAGAATGAGACCTAGATGCTGAGGACACTGCTCAGCCTCTGGCAGGATCCTGGTGATCCTTTTTTGAGGACTTCTGGAGGAGCTGGGTATGGGGAACACCCCTGGAATCCCAGCCACATGGGAGGCTGAGGCAGGAGGCCAGCCTGAGCAACTTAGCAAGGACCCTGTCTCAAGATAAAAAGGGCTGGGGATGTAGCTCAATGATAAAGTGCCCCTGGGTTCATCCCTAGGCTCCATGCCTGGTATGGGGGTGGAGGGGCTTCTGGAGGAATGGTGGAGAAGGATCTGAAGGTGGCCTAAGGGTCTTCCCTCAGGTCCAGCTCTATGTGTCCCATACCCAGTAGCACCTTCCCATCCTCTACCTACTGGGCCTCTGGGACACCACCAAGAGGCCCCAGGCCTTCACGCATTGCTCCGAGCCTGTTAATCTGGAAGGGTACCGTGTCTCCCAGTTCCTTTACAGGCCAACCCTGTAAGGACAGAAAAAGACTCCAGTTACCCGCTTTTTACCAATGGAGAAACTGAGACCTTCCCCCCACAGTTAGGTCACTTACAAAAAATCTCATAGCAAACTTGAATCACTTTGAACCTAAGATGTCTCACTTTGCCAATTACTGTCACCTTGGGCTGGGGCAGGCCAGTTGGTTTGGAGCAGAGGAGAGGGATGTCAGGGGAGCCCAGGCTGCAAGACTTACTAGRCAGGAAGCATCCAGCTCAGTCCAGGGGCCTGGCTCAGAGGCTGGGACCCCAGTGGCTGGACTGCACCATGGTTGGGTGGGTGCCTCCAGCCCAGACCCTACATGCTCCTCACACCACCCTTCACTTCCAGCCCAAGACAGTGGGCAGATGAGAGGGTCCTGCATGTCTGTGGGAAGGAACATAATGGCCTTGAGCTTCCTCTCCTTTGGAGCCATGGTTCACATCTGGGTCCTGACTCCTGAGTACTCTGCCCCCCTCACCTCAATGCCTCTCTGACCAGAGTAGCAAGCAGAGCTGTTGAAGGAGGGCTCCAGCATCCACCTGGGCGGTGGGTACCTTGAATTGTTTCTGAAGCTCCCCACCTGGTACCCATTCACTTGATGCTCTTTGACCCTCCAGGACAAAGGACAGAAACTGCAGATTTAAAGATCCTGGAGATGTCTTTCTCATTTGCCTCTTCTCAAGGGAGAAGAATGCTGAAGGAGAGAACCTAGGGCTGGGGCGTGGAGTGGTGAGGCCCGCTGGAGGGAGGATGGGGGCCAAGGCTGAACAACCCACCTCAGTTCTACCAGTGAGGCCTGAGCAGGGGATCCAGAGGGCCAGGGTTGACAGAGAAGTACCTCAACAGCAGGTCCTATGCCCACCTAYGCCTGCCTCTGCCCCAAGTGGGGACATCAGGCTCTCCCAGACAGGTCTTGATGGCCCCATTGACTTTGGGCTGTTGCTCCCACCAGCCATGGCTGGTGTTCTTTGGCTGCTTCAAGCACCAATCACTAGCTGGCTGTGCCTGTTAACCCGTGGGGCTTACATCCTGGCTCTACCTGCCTCTGAGGGCAATTCTTCCTCAGCAAGTGGTATTGAGGCCTTACTAGCTGATAACAACTGGGGTTCAGGTGCTGAGCCAGACACCAGGTTGCCCTGGAGGTGCTTGAAGTCAATTTGTTTGTGGTGCCTGGGGAGATGTTGGGGACAGGCCTATAAACAAACAGGTATTGTCAACTCTTACAACTTGAGAGCCCAAGGACAGGAGGAGGGGTCAGTTTCCAGTGAGTTCCAGCTCAGGGAGAGGGATGGGGAGGGGGATTCAGGTCACACAGAGAATCCTGGAATACTTGCCCTGGAAGAGACATAGGAAGCAAAATCCAACCTTCTGATTTTGTGGATGGGGAAACGGAGGCCCAGACTATGACAGTGGGCTTGGCCAGGGTCCCTTGGTGAGGTAGTGGCAGGCTCTCAAACCCCTGGTCGTCAACCAGGGCCCTTTTGATGGTACCAGGTGCCCTTTCTGGTTTTCTGTATCCTGATCCTCATGTTCTAAATCTACTTTTGGAAAAAAAAAATTAAAAATTAAAAACCTTTGGCATCTCTACCTGGCAGTCAGCCAAGAGGTGCCCAGTGGCCTGGGGAGCCGGGCGCTACTAGTCCTCCCTCCAGAGGCAGCATGGCCTCTTCTCAGGCCTAGTGTGGGGTGGTTGCGTTTTTCTCTCTCTCTCTCTATCTCTCTTGCATTTTTGTGAATCTAATGATGAACTTATGCTACCACACTTTTCCCTTCTCTTACACACCTTACCTACTAAAGGAGGAAGTGCCACTTTATTGGTAAGTGGACGTTAACCAAGAGGGACTTAAAAATCAGAACTTTAAAAAAAAAAGAAAAGAAAAAAAGAAAAAGAAAAGAGAGAAACAGAAAGACAGTCGGGTGCTACTGACAGCTCCAGAGCTCTCTGCAGGGCCGGAAAACAAAGAAAGAAAAATATTAACAGAAAACTGTCAGGTTCCCCAGGAGATCATTGGTTTTGAGTTTGGTATCTAATGACATTTGTGGATTTTTGGTTTTTTGGTTTTTGGTTTTTTTTTTTTTTCTTTCTGTTTTCCTCCCTTTCTTCGGTTCAGTTTTGAGTTCAGTTGTCCCTCCCCGCCCCTCCCCCATCTGTGTGCCGTGTGACCCCCTCCATCTCCTTTGCCCACCCCCTTGCGCTGGGGGGCCTGGCCTGGTGGGCTGGCCCTGGCCGGGCCTCCCGGTGCCGCCCTCTCTCTTCTCTCTGCCGGGAATCGTCTGTCCCCTGCGGGGTCAATGCCAGCCCCGGTGCCCGTCCTAGAGCCCCCTCCCCTGCAGCCCCACCCCCACCGCTCCGTCCCTCTTGTGTTTTGCATGCCGAGAATCCTGCATGAGCTGCACTGTTAAGGCCAGAAGGTGGACACTCAGAGAGGCAGAGGCAGGGCAGGCGCGGGGAACCGTGTGTGCGATGCTCCGGGACTGGCAGCCCTCGCCCGGGCCCGGTGACAGCCCTCTCTCCTTTTCTCCCCCCACCCCACCCGCCCGCTCTCTCACCCTCGACCTCTCGCTCTCTCGCTGGCTCTGTCCTCTTGCCTCTCATTCTTCCTCTCTGCTTCTCTAACTTCCCCCTGGCACTGTCCCTGTCTCTCACCTACCTCTCTCTCTGTCTCTCTCTGTCTCTCTCTTCCTCTCCTCTCCATTCTCCACCTCGCTCCGCTCTGTCTCCCCTGCCCGTCCCTCCCGTCTGGCTCTGTCCGTCGCCCTCTCCGCCCCTCCGTGCCCTCTCTGCCTCTCTNGTCTCCCCTGCCCGTCCCTCCCGTCTGGCTCTGTCCGTCGCCCTCTCCGCCCCTCCGTGCCCTCTCTGCCTCTCTCCCCTCAGAAGCCCAGCTCGCCCTCGCCCAGGGCCCGTGACAAGGCAGCGGCCGCGGCACCCACGCCGCCCGCGCGGGGGAAGGACAGCCCGAGCCCGCGATCCGCGCCGTCGTCGCAGGGCCGCGGAGGCCGCGCGGCGGGCGGGGCGAGGCGGCGGCGGAGGCGGCGGCGGCGGCGCTCGCGGTCCTCGGCGTCCGCACCCCGCCGCAGGGGCCGCCGGCGCGCCCGGCCCGCGCCGCCCCGGGGCTCGTCGCGCTCGCTCAGCCGGGCCCACTCCAGCAGCGACTCGGGCGGTGGCGGCGCCCCGGGCCCCGGGCCCGAGACGGGCTCCGAGCGAGGCCACGGCGGACACGGGAAACGGTGAGCTCTGGCCCCAACTCACRCAGAGCCCCCTCCTCGATGGCCAGCGGTCCCGGAGCTCCCCAACCAGGGCTCCGCGTCCAGCAATCGCCCCCTCACTGAGCGCCCCCCGCCCACGGAGCTGCCCTCTGATGGACGACCCTCCCCAGGGAGCTCTCCCTTCACGGATGGCCCCGCTCCACGGAGCTYCCTGTCCCCCCACTGGTCTAAAACCCCAGGGAACACTGTCCCCCTGCTGAACTCCCCCCACTGACCACCTGATCATCCCCCACCCCAGCCCAAGGAACACTCTCCTGTCCCCTGGACTCACTCATCACTCTCCCCAGACTTACGCTACCTCTACCCCGCACTGAGTCCTCCCCTCATTACTTAGGACACCCCACCCCCGCCGCCGCTGAACCCCCTCTCTGTGCTGCCTCCAGGGTGAAGGAGCGGCCAGCGCGCGCGCGGCCGGCCAGCACCTCGCCGTCCCCTGACCCGCACGGCAGGCGCGGCGGCCCTGAGGGGAAGAGCTCGTCWCGCAGCCCGGGTGCCCACCCCCGGTCCTGGAGCTCCAGCCGCTCCCCCTCTAAGTCCCGCTCGCGATCCGCGGAGAAGAGGGCCCGCAGCCCCAGTCGCTCTCTGTCGCCCAAGAAAGCCGTCGGCCGGTGAGTGCCCGCCCGCCCCGCAGAGGTCGTGGCCACGACCCAGGTCGCTGGCTGCAGGGGGCCCCGCCTGAGGAGCCGGGCCCTTCGAGTCCCGTCGCTCACCTTGGGCCGGCCCTGCAGGGACAAAGACGGAGAGGGCCGCACGAGGCATGCAGAGGCCGAGGCCGCCCGCGCCCGGCGCCGCTCGCGCAGCTACTCGCCCATCCGCAAGCGGCGCCGCGACTCGCCCAGCTTCATGGAGCCACGGCGCATCACCAGGTACGGAGGGGCTGGGGAGCGTGGGCGCAGGGCTAGAGCCACTGACCCGAGTCAGTGACGGTGACCTTGGAGGTGAGGTTTCATCAGCCCAGCCTGGGGACCTTCTCCAATGGCCAACTGGAGCCTTGGCGCGGGGCGGGGAAGGGGCTACAGCGGCAGGAACGGAGGAGGACTCAGTGAAGGGAAAGGGCTGGGCTGGAGGGGCTGGGGTGCTGGGGATCAGACAGATGGAGGAGCCTCCTTAGAAGGAAAGGTCCCAGCGGGGCCTGAAGGCCCATGGAGGGGAGAGAGCTCTGTACTTGGGTCTGAGTGGGCGCCTCAGCAGGCATGAATCTCCGCTCTGGAAGGTCCAGCCATCTCTCTGGAGCCCGTTCTTCCCTCCCCACACCCGCCTCCGCGCAATAATGTCTCCTTTTCTCCTTCATCTCAAGGTCCAGTGTGCTGAGTGGCCTGTGGCCAGCCTGGGGGCCCGATGGACCCCTCTCCACAGGCTGCCGGGGAGATGTCATGTGAGCTGGTCTGCTCCGGTCAGCTGTCTGTCTGTCTGCCTCTCCTTTTCTCACTAACATCCCAAGCCCTGGGGAACTGGAGGAGGAGGCACAGCAGTGTGGTCTCTGGGGCAGCTGTGGAGGAACCCRGTGCAGCCAGGAAGGCTGTGGCCAGGGTGTGGCTGGTTAAGCCAAAGCCATAGTCAGAGCTCCTCTGCTAGGACTGCAGGGGTCTGGGCCTGGGTCTCCAGGTGACATTATGACTTGTCTTTGTTAAAGTCACCTTTAAGCCTTGGATTGGCCTGGCATGGGTGGAGAATTACTGAAGAAGTTCTGAACCCAGTTCTGAACCCAGTTCTGTCACTGTCTTGCTGGGCAACCTTGGGAGATTGGTGTGCCTCTCTGGGTCTCCACTGTCATGTGTGTACAGTAAGCAGGGCTCTTTTCAACTCCAGCAGGGTCAGATTCTCACACTTATTCTTCCTAGTCCTGAGGGAGGAGAAGGCATTGCCTCCTTCCCTACCCCATAGCTAGAGGCCAGACTGCTAAGCTTGGGACAGCCAGACAGCTCACACACACCACCCACAGCTGGAGGTCCTGAGACACCTGAAAGCCTCCACCCCTGCCACCTGGCACCCACTTCAGCCCTCTCCAGGCTGCCTCCTCCTCCCCACTGACACCTGTTTTCTTCCTCAGAATTAACCCTGCGATGGGACACTAGCCCTCTTAACCCTCTCTTCTTTCCTCTGGGTCACAGCCTCTCGTGCCTTCAAACTAACTCCGGGCCAGCGGGAGGTAGCTGAGTGAAGAGTGGGCGCCGGTAGGACTGGGCCAGGCCTTGAGCACGGCAGCAGCGGCCAGGGTGTCCTTGTTCCCTTTGAGTTACCTGAACAGCCCAAATTCTTGTTTTTGTGGGGTACAGAGAAGCAGGGTTGGTCATATTCACAAAGAAGCCATGCTGGGTGGGCCTCGGCAGCACAGTGCTTGCCTAGCATGTGAAAGTTCCATCCCCAGCACCATACATGTGCACAGCTGCACACACATCATACACACGTGTCTCTCTCTCTCTCTCTCTCTCTCTCTCTCTCTCTCTCTCACACACACACACACACACACACACACACACACACACATCATACACAACACTACTTAGCGCTGTTCAAATTTTCATTCAAAGCTGGGTGCAAGCCAGACGGGGTGGCGCACACCTATAATCCCAGGACTTGGGAGGCTGAGGCAGGAGGATCCCAAGTTCAAAGCCAGCCTCAGCAAATTAGTGAGACCCTGTCTCAAAATACAAATTTTAAAAAGGGCTGGGGATGTGGCTCGGAGCACTGCTGGGCTCCATCCCCAGTACCCCTCAAAAAATGTTTCATTCATTCCACAAACATTTATTAGCACATCTCAGATCATACAGAAACCTGGCTCCTTTCCCGGTGGACAGGTGAGAAAGACCAAAATGATCCACAGGGCAAGTGATTCAAATTCTATTTGGAGGGGGTGGACATCTCTGAGGCCAGGGCTCAGGGGACACTGAGGCAGGAAGCCCTGGTCACTGCTAGATGGGGCTCAGGACCTGAGTGAGAGCCCAGAGGGCAGAGAGCTCGGCCCTGGCTGACCTGTAATGCTCTTTTCCCCCTGGCAGTGCCCGGAAGCGTCCTATCCCCTACTACCGGCCCAGCCCCTCCTCCTCCTCCAGCTGCCTGAGCAGTGACTACTCAAGCAGGAGTCCCAGCCGCAGCCCCAGCCCAGGCCACAGCCACGGAAGCTACAGCAGTCGCAGTCGCGGGACCCGCAGCCGCACACACAGCCCCTCCCGGACCCCCAGTCCCAGCTACCAAAGCCGGAGCAGCTCTGAGAGTGGGGGTTTCTGAGCCCAGAGAGACCCAGTTGGGGTCCCCTGGCACAGGGAGAGGCCAGGCCCCAGGACCTGGAGGGGGATGCACCCCCCACTGCAACAAAGAAGTCCCGGGGCCAGCACGTGGGCAGATGGGACCAGGGAAGACCGTGAGGGCTGGTGCCCTGCCCGTAGGAGGAGCCAGATTGTGCTGCTCAGAAAGGGTGCCCAGCCCGCCTCCTGCCCACCTTCATGTCCAGGGAACAAAGAGCCGTTTCGAACACAGGGATCACCCTGTCCCCTTCCTGCTTGATGCCAGCTCACCAGGCTGGGGGCCACTGCCRGAGAATGGCATGAGTCCACAGTCTGCTGTGTCACCTCACCTCCGTTCGTAGGCCCAGGCACATCTTGGAGAGGGCCAGACCTCCTCTCCCTGCTCCCCAGGGCCCTCCTCTCCTCTCTCTCTCTCTCACTGGGAAGATGAGGAGGTATCCAGCAAGCTGGGTCTAAGCTAGACAGAAGGAAGAATGGCCTAACTCTTGGTGCGCCACCATCCAGGCTGGGGAGGAGGACCCTGGCTGAGGGCTGGTAGCTGGTCCCACAGCCTCCCCCAACCTCTCCCCTGGCCCAGCAGGGCCCAGACTGGGCAGCCCGCAAAGCCCCAGCCTCAGGTCCCATGTCTCCAGGCCAGGCTCTTCCCTCCATCCCCATCCCAGCCCTGGGCCAAGGTCATACCAGCCAGGCCTTCCGTGTGACAGGAGGTGGGGGTGGAAGACCACATCTTCATCTGACCCTGAGGTCAGAGAGGGTCAGGTCAGGGGGTGGAAGACGACAAAGGCTGAAGATGGCACAGGGACTTGTGACCATGGGCAAAACAGCRCAGTCGGGTGACAGAGCTGGCCACAGGGAGCTGGGAGGGATTGGAGATGGGTCAACGGCATTGGGCCCCACCAAGAGAAGGGTAGCATGTGCCAGTCTGGGACACGACTAGATGACAGCCCAGGGTTCAGGCATAGGGAAATGTGTACGGTGCCCTCAGGGCCTGCCCAGGGAAGCGCCTCCTCCCAGGCTTTGTTGGGACAGGCCAGCCAAGGCTCCCCAGGGAGGGGTAGTGCAGCCCTTGGAAGGGAGGCCAGGATCTAGGCCCAGGGCCTTGCCCTGGCACCGACGGGGACGCAGGCCCCCAGTCCTCTTCTGCAGCTCCCAGCCCCCTCCTCCTGGGGCCCTCAGGGATCTCACAAAGTCTTCCTTGGCCCAAGAGGGCAGATGCCCTGGGCGCTGATGGGGGGAGGGGTCTGGGGTCTGGTCCGGGTTCCCCCCTCTCTATTCCCCCTCCCTTTTACTCCGCGGTGCGGATAAAAATTGGACTCTAATAATAAACACTCAGTGCCCGGATGGCACRTGGTGAGAGCAGGCCTCTGTGAGTGTGGGCATCTGGGCAGACTGGGGAGGGCAGGGAGGCCTGGGGTCATTCCCTGCCGTGTGGACTGAGAGGGAATCAGACTCCTCAGTACCCCAGAGAGAAGAACTGACACCCAAGAAGCAGGGACCAGCATATGTATCCCCTGCCTCTGAGCAAGTCCACCGAGCCCTCCTGAGGCTCAAGCGGGAGGAAATTGGACATAAGGAGCCAGATGCGGTGGCACACACCTATAATCCCAGTGGCTCAGGAGGCTGAGGCAGGAGGATCTTGAGCTCAAGGCCAGCCTTAGCCACTTAATGAGGCCCTAAGCAACTCAGCAAGATCCTATCTCAAAATAAAATATAAAAATAGGCTGGGGATGTGGCTCAGTGGTTAAGCGCCCCAGTGCCAAAAAAGAAAGAAATTGGACACAAGGAGAACAAGTCCGTGGGCACAGAGCAGAGGGAAGAGGCTTGGAGGACCCTCATCGCATGGCAGAGCGTTCCGGAGGCTGAAGCAGCACTAGGGTGTGAAGCCTGCCCCCTGAACTTTCTGCTAAGTGACACACAGGCCTGAGATGAAGCCAAAACGCAATATTACATTGGCAGTCCTCAGCACAGTGGCAGGCAGAGAGTTCAAAAGATGGCCACTACCAGGCAACACTGGCCTGGCCTAGCATCAGAGGAGGGCTTGGAAGAGGGGTTCAATGTGGTAGATTTCCTTTTTTGAACCTAGGGGCACTCTACCTCTGAACTACATCCCCAGCCCTTTTTATTTATTTTAAGACAAGTTCTCACTAAATTGCTGAGGTTGGCCTTGAGCTTGTGATCCTCCTGCCTCAGCCTACTGAATTACTGGGATTACAGGGGTGCACCCCCAAGCCCGTTTTAATTTTTTTAAATAACTACTCCCATTGTATTTCTTTTATATAGATCCATACAGATTCTCCTTCCCCTGCCCTTTTCCTGTCCTGCTCCTCCTCTTCCCTCATTTTCCATTTTCTCCTTCTCCTTCCTTTTTTTTTTTTTTTGAACCAAGCATCCTCTAAGACTCTGTTGGAGGCTGAGAGCCCATTCCCCAAAAGGAAGTGCGCATGCCCACTTTGGCACCTTACATCAATCTCTCAGACACTCTGAAGCCCTACAGGTGCCCCAGGTTAAGAACCCTGGTCCTCCTCGGCTGATGTGGCCACAGCTAGGACACTGCATGACCTCCCCCCCTTTCCAGTTTCTCTTCCCCCAAACTGGAAGGGGCACCTGACACAGCCAGTGGCCAGCGGCTGTGTCTAATCCCAGAAAGATGTTCAGAGAAGCCCTGGTGATCTCTTTAACCCTCTATACAAGTTCAGCAAGATGGCCTTGAATGAATAAAGGGTGGGAGCTGCACATGGCTGTGCTCTGCAGATCCCACCTCCTGGTGGCGAGGGCAGGAAGTACACCCAAAGAATGGCATAAAATTCAACTTGTTGAGCCTGGTGTGGGGCCTGGGGCTCTGCTGCTCCATTTCCCAATACCCATCCCAGTCTTTGGTATTCCATATCCACAGCCAGGCAGCCCCAGATGATGCGACTGCTACCTTTCTGTACCATTTGCCCCTTCATTGGCCAGCCCTCCTCCATCTCTGCCCACTCCAATCGTGTGTGTGTGTGTGTGTGTGTGTGTGTATACACACACACACACACACACACACACACACATATTTTTTTCCCATACTGGGAATTGAACCCAGGGGTGTTCCAGTATTCCACCCTCAAGCTGCATCCCTGGCCTCTTTTTACTCTTTTTTTWAAAATATTTTATTATTTATTAATGGACCTTTTATTTATTTATTTGTTTATATGCAGTGCTGAGAATTGAACACAGTGCCTCACTCATRCAAGGCAAGAGCTCTACCACTGAGCTACAACCCCAGCTCCTCTTTTTACTCTTTGAGTYAGGCTCTAAGTTGCTGAGGCTGGCCTCAAACATTCAATCCTCCTGCCTCAGCCTCCCAAATCACTTGGATTATAAGTGATCTGGCCTTCCCACTATTTCTAAAATGCATCACTGGCCATTCATGTGCTGAACACAATTCCTGGTGCTGAGGACACAGTACTGAATGAATCAAACAGGACTCCCTGCCTTGAGGACCCTGCATGCTGTGATCACGTCCACCAGCTTGCAGGCCTTGGAAGGCCTTCCAAATGACTCTACCTGGACTTTGCTGTCCCCCCACCTTTCATCCCCTCGTTGCCCTGGGCTCCAGTACACCTCAGTCCAGTGACCCCCAGTCATGCCCTCTCCATCTCCACAGACAGGTGGACTCAGGGTGTGAGGCCCCTCCTAGCAGCCTCCTACCCCATGGAGCCATTTTGATCCCCAGCTGTAGTGGCCCCAGATTCTTCTAGGAACCTCTTCTTAGGGTCCCAGACTCTTATCCCAGTTATTCGTGGACATGTCTCTCTTCCCAACTCTCTGAGCTTCTGGAGACCAGGCCACGTCTTCTTGGTCTCTGCGACCCCCATACAGGCACTTTTGAAGTGCTTCTTGAATGAGCCAATGAGTCAATGAGGGAATCAAAGGACCAACAGTTCCTAAGCCTTGGGGAGGCCTGGGACCAAAGGTGAGGTGTGATGGCAGCAAGAAGACACCAGAGGGCGACAGAGAGTGAGGGAAATGCCAGCTGCGGAGACAGGCCAGGGCTGAGTAGATAGCTCCCCTGTCTAGAGGGTCCATCCCAGCCTGGAGGCYGCCAGCCCAGGTAGTCTCTCTGGCTCCCTGGGGAAGAGGCCACTTGGCGCAGTTAGGGACAGTACCAAGCCACTGCCCCTCCCAATACCCGAACCTCAGCCTGCACTCTGCTTTGTACCTCGGGAAAGGGAAAATCACCACCACTACCACCACCACCACCGGCAGCAGGCAAGGAAACAGGAAACTCCCAGGCGGCCTGGTGACCGGAGGAGAGGGTGGAGCAGCCTCCCCAGGATGTGTGCATTTTGCACCAGAGGTTCCTGAGCGTGGCTGGCGCTCTCCTGGTTTGGGGGTGCAGCGGGTCCTACAGCAGCCCCTTCTCCAAGCTGCTCTCCACCTAGGAGGCCCAAGACATGGGGTGCCTCAGCCTCTGGAGCCCCACCTCCACCCACCCACTTTTTTTTTTTTTTTGGTACCAGGGATTGAACCCAGGGTGACTTTACTATTAAACCATGTCCCCAGCTCTTTCTTTCTTTCTTTCTTTCTTTCTTTCTTTCTTTCTTTCTTTCTTTCTTTCTTTCTTTCTTTCTTTCTTTTTGAGACAGGGTCTTCCTAAGTTACTTAGAGCCTCACTAGGTTATCAAGGCTTGCGATCCTCCTGCCTTAGCCTCCCCCGAGGATGTGCCACTACACCCGGCTCCACCTGCCTACTGTCTAGGACTTCCTTGGAGTGGAAACCCAAATCCACCTCAGAACAGGAACCCTTATTTCCTATAGGTCTGGGGGATTCCTGCCTGAGAGGTCATGGGAGAAGAGGTGTCTTCAAAGAAGTGTCCAAGGAGTTCCTGAAACAGAGAGGAAACGCAACTTGGGACCAGCAGGGTTCTTGGCTTATATAAAAGAATTTCAGCACACGCCAGTCAGAGAGGTTTATTAGGAAAGTAGATGCATATTCAAAGGAGAATG